ATACTTTTAAAAACGAGTATTGTATCCGGATACAACATTTCAGTATCAATACTTTTTTTGATTATCGATACTTTTGACAACCCTATCCTGTTCTGATCTGTTTTTCCAACCTGGCTTTGAACGCCTGGACCTCTGAGCCTCGATGTTCCTATTCTGATCTGGTTGCCTGACCTGTCTTTGGACTCCTGCTTCTTCTCTGTTCTCCGGGGCTGCAGCATCTGAGACACTGTAGACATCTTGTTAGCAGCCCACCGGCTGGATCCTACCTTGTTCTCTGGGCACTGACTGAAATTGTAAACCAGGTTAGTGACTCACCTTTTTAATCGTACTTCATTAAATTTAAGTGGTCACTAACCTGTGTTTTCCTCTCTCTCAAGTTTCCTGCCTCAGATGCCCTAGCTGCTGCTACTGCAGATCTGCAGCCCGTAATTTTAATAGACATATTAAATAAATTGAATAATCCCACTGTCTGTCTTACCTGAATACTGGGTCTGTTCAGAGTCATGACAAGCCTGGATTCTGACTTTATGTTTTCTTCTTTCTTTTTTTAACAGTGTCCTGTCTGGCAATGTGGCAATAAGAATAATTGTCTTGACTTTTACAAGTGGAGCAGTAGAGCTATTGTCATAATTATGCAGGGAGTTTTACAGATTATGTGGACACTGCAATGTAAATAGAATCGATGAGGAAAAACAGAAAAAAAGGAGAAAAGATGAAAGAAAGAGGACATAGAAAGGAGATAATGATAACACATTTTCAGTCTGCTTCATCACCTGTGACTTTATGTTTTCTGCTTTGGTTAATTTAATCACAAAGGAACTGGTGTAGTATTGCCATTTTCATCTCTAATGTGCTATGCCTTTCCAATAAAACATTAAATTCAAATAAAAGGAACTTGTTGTGAAGCTTAGCTTTTATTTCAGCCAACATTTGCTCAGTCAGAAATAAAACACCAAAATAAGCCAATCATTTATAGCTCAATATCATCTGACAGAGTCATATTGGTGTTTGATTTCACCCCATGGTGAAACTCAGTGGTAAAACAATGTGCAAGGAGTCATGTTGTTTTTTCCTCTCAGAAGTCAGGAGAAGGACAAGTTGGCTGTGAGCACAGCCAACTTTGGAAAACACAGGAGCCGTTATGAAATTCAGAAACATCATAGTAAAGGGTAATATTTGAGTTTTATGAAGCTAAAATATCTTAACAGTTAATTTGGGGTCACAAAAAGTTTAACATATATTATTTAATCACAATTACTGCCATTGTCATTCTCCATTTCTGCCTCTCCACTTCTTGACAATTCTTCTTCAAATTATGAAGGATACACATCCTTCAAATCTACAGAAAAGAAGTAGCCTACTAATTTGTCGAGCAGGTTTGAATGCAGTCTTGGAATTGTAACAGCCCGTCTTGCAGCGCTATAATATGATCACCCTACAAATGCAGCCTTTGTAGGGTACAGCCCCTTAATTTGGACACAGCCAAGGTGTTAAGATTGGTTCCTACAAACACTAGGATCCACACCATGGGCATGGTCTCTTTTGTTAGCAACATCTTTGATGGTGCTGGCTTACTACTACAAACACTTTACTATACTTTTACGGAACTTTACTATACTCTCCAGGGTGATTCATACTGCTGTTCGGTAACTATTACTATTATACTAAGTATACCGTGTCTGGAGCGCAAAGGCTTTTACTACTGTAAGTACACAGTTTTTAAGTTAATCTGTTCTTGCATAATATGGAACAACTTGCTCTTCCGAAGACTAGCTTGAAAAATGATTTTAAAATCGGCTACAAGAACAATGAGGTGCAATATTCACAAAGAATATGCATGAACATTAAATTTATCATTTAAGAAATACAATGAGAGTAGTCAGCATGGGTGGGAAAGAACTTTACAGAACACAGACATTCGACAAAAAAAAACCAAAAAAACTTACCACATCAATAATCTGTAGCAATGTCAAGCCAAGTTCCACAAGAATAGGTGCAGAGTCATTTTGGACTGGTCTCTCTAGACGGTTGTAGTTTGCCAACAGCTCATTGTACAGTTTCCTCTGGTACACTCCGCCATGACAAGCTGGAAGGGATAAATGGAGAATTACTAAAGAAAATCAGGTAGAAAACTTGTTCAACAGAAAGAAGAGTTGATAATCTGATCAGAGTATAATTTACAAGTGGTTTGTAGAGGGTTAAAGTTAAATAGGTTTTCACTTCTGTCCCATACAAAAAAAAAATAATCTTATGCTGTCAATCCTGGGACAGAGTAAAAAAAATTACATAAGCACTCAATTATAAAGATAACATAATTATACATATCTCTTATTATAAAGGTCTGCATGTGTTGAATTTGGTACTTTTTATGGATTGTCTGAAATAAAGATATTCATTGATCCTTTTAAATTTAGTAGGCCAGCTTGAGCAGCCATTTAGTATTTTCTTGGATGACAACTTTATGAGTAAATTTTTGTTTAAGTGCTACTGTCAATTTAATTTTTGACTCTCTTGCTGGTCCTGCTACTGCACTTGTTGCGATTGTACAGCAAATGAATAATGTTATTCTGGAAATCTTTTTGCAGCATTATACAATTCAGGCTTGTTTATAAAGTATCCTGATATAGCAGCAAATTTAGGAAAAATGGGGAATTATCATGAGAGTTGGTAAATTCAGTCTCTTACTTTAGACAGTGTACTCACAAGGCATGTTGCTGTTTTTCTATTGCTTATCAACATAGTTCAGTCTAAAACTGTTTCATCAACTGCTTCCTGAGCAGTATGATACCTAGATGTTAGAGCTAGGTAGCATTCAGTTTATGCATAACTGTTTGAGCTACATGTCAGAGTCAAAATAAGGTCTTAAATTTTTACAGATGGACAAGACTCCTGGATCGCCACAATAGTCTTCCTTTTGACTTGTATTATTTTTTCTCTCTCTCTCTTTCTCTCTCTCTCTCTCTCTCTCTCTCTCTGTATAATATCATATAAGGACCCATTGTTTTAGGGGTGTTTCAGTAAAATGTATTCACAAGGGTAATTCTAATTAATTCAAATGTTGTGAATTAACCTTTCAGGACCTCATAAAATCATGACTTCACTATCTTGACTTTCTTAATTTGTTGAAATGTAAAGCAATTTTTATTTGCTTAAAATAATATTCTCCTCTCCATTATTCAGGCATTTAAAAATAAAAATGATTTTGTTATTTGGCCCAAATCAGAAAATATCTGGTGTAATTTAACAGAAAGTGTGAAACATGATACATGTAATCTTATAGTCTATATAAATGCCATGTCTCATATCTACATGTATTCATTGACATCACCATTCAATGAATTATGTTTGTACTAAAAATGGACAATTTAATTAAAAGACAAACCAGTGGTGAAGCACCATCTGGTTCCATGCGGCGAAGGAATCACTGTTTTGTTTTTATTTGAGAAAGTTATAGATTTCCTTTAAAAGCGATATTAAATATTTTGGCATATTGCATTGTTGTTTTTGCTTTCATATTTTCAGATAACATTGCAGAAAAATACATGTACAAAATAAAAGAATAAAAACTTAAAGGTGATTATCTCAACAGAATAGCAGAAAAAAATTGAAAAAGCCAGATTCGGTGTATGCTAAATTAATGTGTGTGAAATGTTTGTTTTACTATATATAGTTATATTTTGTGGTTGAACATCATTAAGTAATATTATTTTAACACAATTTGGAATAAGTTAGCATTTACTAAATTCAGTTATGCTGACAGAACCTAATGCTTATTGGGTAAGATATCAAGTGACGCGCAAAACTCCAGAATAGAAGGTGGTAGTAGTGTGCCACCTACTTTTAAGAGTAGGCTTAAAACTTTCCTTTTTGATTAAGCTTATAGTTAGAGTGGCTCAGGTTTTCCTGAGCTATATCTGTAGTTATGCTGCTATAGGCTTAGACTTCTGAAGGACATAGGGACCCCTTTTCAACATTTTGCTTCATTTTATCTCTATTCTCCCACTCTGCAGAATCCGTTAGTTCAATCTCTAACATTCTGCTCTCTCCACTTTTTCTCATAGTAGCGTCATCTGGTCTGTTCACCAGATGGCTGTGAGACCATCCTGGAGAGAAATATCAGCTGTGTTGCTGCCATCAACACCTTTGTTTATAGATGTTTGAGATCGGCCTGTTTTTTTCAGTGTAGTCTTGTTTCTCTGACTGTGACTGGCTGCAAGTGCTCTCTTCATTCTCTGCCTGGCTGTGTGTTTCCTCACACTGAGCCTGGTTCTGCTGGAGGTTTCTTCCTGTTAAAAGGGAGTTTTTCCTCTCCACTCTCGCTACAAGCATGCTTAGTGTGAGGGATTGCATCCGAGTAAATGAGTCGACGCAATCAACTGCTTTTCCTTAGATAGAAAACTTTGAATCCTTTTGACTGTATGATCTGGTTAACTGTAAAGTGTCTTGAGATGACATGTCTTGTGAAGTGGTGTAATATAAATGAAATGAATTGAATTACTGTCCGCTTTAGATGTTCACTGAGTGCTTCATAGTGTGATATATATGCTTAGCATCGTATAAGCATTAGCAGAGTCCGGTTAACACACACTTTGGTTGGTAGCACAGTTGACACAGTGATGCAGTAGATGGACAGTGCATGCATGTCCCTTAATGAATTTAGCACAGTCTATGAGCATATACTATAGAAATATTGATTTTCATGTGACAAAATCCTGTAAATTTTTCCCCTTCATATATATGGCTTAAAGTTCTCCAGTGTAGTCCATGCAATTCCAGCGTGCAGCAATTGTAGGGGTTAGCAGAAGGAGGAGCAGCAGAAGCTTCAGATGCATCTGGACACACTTTACTGGAGTCTGACCTTAATGTGGACAAGAATCAAAAATGAAGCAGCAGAAGCTTTTGCTGCTTCCAGTGCTTGCTATCTGAATGTACACCATAAGTAGTGTTCTAGTACATGAAAACATTTTAAGAATTCTGTTTATTTTTTGAAATTCATGGATGTAAAATAATGCGATTTTATTTTTATTGTATTTAGTTTTTTTGTAAAGTCAAATGTTGGTCTTTGTTTTCCTCTTCATTTGCCATAAAGTTCAATCTCAAGGAATCCCATTTGCTGTTATGTGTTTATCCACCCCCTGCTCTCAACATGATATCAAGTGTCACAAACTAGGTTGAGAAATTTGTACATTCTTTAAAACAAATATAGATGTCAGAATTGACTTATTGAACTTGTGATTTTCATATGACTGAAAGGACTCTTAACAAGCAATTGACAAGTGCTAGTCTTGTTGGATCGGCACAATTATAGTTGTTTTGTATCATTTTAAAATATAGTTGTACCTACCCAATTAAATTGTGTCACCTACACTGCAATCAAATATGGATACATATGTAGAACTAGTTACATTGGAGTTACTTGTCATAATTAGCTCACTTTAATGCCAGCTTTTGTTTACTCTGCATGTTTAAATTAATTTCATTCAACAAATCTGTCCTTTGCCAAATGAGCATGTAATAATTGGGTGGAAATATTTTCCATATATTTATCTGTTCACCCAACCCATTATTATTATGTTGGACATACCACTTGTAATTCAGTAATAGAAACACCAACACCTTATGTTGAAACAGCATATTTACATGAATGTGAAACAAAACATAAAATTCTTGCTAAATTAGCATATTATGATTGGGTGGCAATACATTCCATATTTTTTTTATGTTCATCCAACAAAAACATTTTTTTGAGTGAAGGGATGAGCAACAATAAGACTTGGTTATTTCCTTAAAAGAAAATCCTTCCATCCATAAAAAATATAAATATATAAAAAATTTATAAATAGACAGCTGCTTTGACTACAAATGTTACTGCAATTAAGAGAACATTAGTTTTTTTCTGAAATCCTCTGTCCCTCAGACTTACAATTTTGCTGCAAAATGAAACGGTCTCAGCTCTCATTTCTCCACTGACCCCTATCCAAATGAGTCGTTGCACCACAACACATTTCACGCATTACCAAGCGACAGCTGAGATACTATGTGGATGGCTTTACAGCTAATGAAGCAAAAATTAAAAGGAACAGCTTGCTGTGCATTATGTGAAATGGTGATGGCAAGTGTCAGATTGGGTACCCCTAAATCCAGGATGGAAAGAAAATCTGCATAATGATGGGGGATTGTCAGCCAACAGAAATATGGAGAGGCACTCGAGTGAAATGAACCAAGAAACTACATTCTGAGTAGCAGAGACCCAGTCACAGGGCTGTGGTAAAAAGATACATATATCCAAATGGCAGGAAATGCATATTGTGATGCAGTGGGTAAGTGAGTACAAAGTGGGAAAATATATATATAAAACTCCATGTTTTTTTTTTTTATTATTATTTGATTAACACAATTTTGGTGATATATTTTAGTTATAATAACAAATATTGCATTGCTCCTACATCAGAATTATAGCCTGTAAGATGTGTTTGGTGCTTAGTTTTAAAAATCAAACCATATATTGTGTACAAACTTTAAAATAACTGTATGCTAGGGTCATACATAATTGTTGTACTATTAAAGAAAGTGAAACAATAATTTGCAAATAAACTATAAGCTGCTCCGACATTTTTTTTTTGTTTTTGTTTTTACTGAAAAAGCACAAATATAAGTATGAAGATTATTGTACTCAAGAATCGGTATTCATTCTTTTCCTACTTTGTGTGTCAACTGTCACGGTTCCTAGGCGACAGAGCATATGGCAGACAAAGCCACCGAAGGCTGAAACTGTTTGAAGTTACAGCCTCCTTCCAGCCTCCTTATTTTCACGGACCTCAAAGGATCCAGTCCAGGTAGACAGCGTCCTTGGAAGACGCAGCCTTAAATTCAAACGCATCCAGTGACAGCATGCGTGAGCTGGGTCCTTAGAAGGCAACATCGCACTAGGCCATATATGTATTTCTGGTAGGTAAAGAGTTACCGAGAAGTAGCGCCCCCTGCTGTCTGCAGGGGGGCGCAACTCACAGAACACAATTTGTATACTTGTACTCAAGAATTTGAAGGTGATGATAACAGTGCAATTACTCACATAAAATTAATACA